ATGATGAGAACAGAATTTTTGCCAAAATCTTTATGAACTGAAAATATAGGAAACCTAACCTATCTTTAAATAAAGTAGACAAATAAATGAGTAACTAATAGATTCTTTCCTCAAAATTCTCAAAAATTTTTCAGTTAGGAGAAATCTAAGAGAACTTATCTAGTACAGACCCATTATTTTTCTCTTCTATAAAATTTAGAAGTAAATTTCTCCATTTTAGTATATTTCTATTACTGACCACAGCTTTACTCCAAGTTGCCTCATTCTAAAACAGTACCACTATCAACAATATCTCTGCTCAGAATTTATCATCTTAAGACTGAATTTTATAGACAAAACCCAGCTGTGAATCCAACTATAATTACAGTAAAGATTATAGGCTGCCAAAGTTTCATGAAGCTTCAATCATAACACTTTTTCCTACAATCTGAGAAGGCAAGAATAATCCTAAAATGGATTCTCATCAGACATGATATAAATTCTGGATCTTTTGATATTGTACTTTGTAACTTGTTTGTCAATTAAACAAATGAGATATATATCCTCTGGCTAAAGCATATTACAAACAGGATGCTTCTCTATAAGAATGTGATTTTGTAATCTGTAAGCAGGAATAAATAAAACTATACCTATTAAAACATTTTCAAAATGAGCAACCTTATTCAAGTCACCTAACTGCAAAACCCTCCAGATTTTCCACCTAAAATGTCAATGCTAATACCTACCTGGAAGAGTTAGTCAATAGTTATTAGTATATGCTATTAACTATCTAGCACATCCTATTTAGCACATGCTATATAATGTGTAATAATGAATAACCTTGCCCAACAAGTCAACTGAAATAAATATTTAAGCTAAGTCATCCTGGCTGATCTACTCAGAAAGTACAGTTTTCCAAATGATATTTCTTCGGGAACCATGACAAAGTTATTAAAGTCAAGACTACCAATATGTAATGCAGACCATGGATATTTTTCAAAATAAAACACTTGTTTCTGATCTCTGAGTTAGAACTTTTGGACATTACTATGTTCTGTGGGTGCAAGGGAGGATGGTGGGAGGTCCTAAAATGATTGTATCATATAATAACTCCCAAATTTTCAGGGGACTAATAAGCACATACACACACATACAAATATTTTCCATTGAAACTATGTGTCTATCACACACAAGAGAGGCAGAGCTGTATTAATTATGATCCTCTTTTCGGGATGGTGAACAACACTTTGACTGCCATTCTGGGTGCCAGGGGAAAGAGATTCACTGAAGTGGTCATCACCAATTAAATGTTTGTACCCAAAATTGATGTCACCTCACTTATATTTTGATTGACCCAAATGTACCACATGTTGGTACTTAACATGGAAGAGGCAGGGATGAGCAATTTGTGCTCAAAATGAGAATAAAATATTGTGCAATAGCATTAATACTTTCACACTGTTTTGTGTGGGTGGTAGTCCAGCCTATACTATAGAAAAGTGATGACCCTCTCTCATGGGAAGGATGAAGGGGAGTCTTTTCTAAAACATTCATAAAAAGGAATGTCAATCATATCTTCTTCATATATTACCTCTTATATAACTCTCTTTAATCAATAGTCTGAATCTTTATCCTCTCACTGAAAAACTGTTTTGTTCCAATATTACTAAAAACTCACTTGAGGCATGTAATAATTAATAGGTGGACTAAAAGTCATGTTTACTTGCTTCATCCCACTATATTCTCCACATTATAGCCCTCATGTACTATAAGAAAGTAATGGTCATATTATCTCAGGTCCAAGCAGAACTATCCTTGGTATATTTAAGATCCAATTAGAAATGAGTTAGGAACAAAACTATTTAGCTTCTTTTCTCACAGTAATTCAGTCAGGAAGACAATTCAAAACTAAGTATTTAGCTCCTGTAACAGTAATTAAATCAAAAATATTTCCAGTCAGTACTTTTGAAGAAAGGGTTTGAACTGCTCAGATGGGATAATGAAATTCATTTTATCATCATCTCTATTTCCATTAATATTCTAAACTCCTTCATGTGTGATCAAGTATCACAAATAATAGATTCAGAAGAATATAACAGAAATGATATATTACCAATTTTTTTAAAAAAATATGTAATTACTTGAATTCCTTGTTTTTATTTTTATACTCTAAAATGGGACTTGAAATTATAACTCTCTTTTCAATTATGGAAGATAGAAGAAAATAGGAAAATGATTTAGGATGAAATCCTAACACACTAGTCTTTTGAAGAATTTAATCTCATAATTTGCAGAAGGGAGTATTATCTTTGAAATTAAGCAAATATTAGAATTAAAACAACACAAAATGAAAAAGGAGTCATAAAATGAAATAAAAACACCTTTTGTATGTGTTTTGATAATAGTATTAAAAGTTGATACTTACAAAGGTTCTGAGCAATTTTAGAATCTAGAAATTTAAGTTCTTTAATCTTTTTCTTAATAGCTTTCTTCTCTTCAAAATCTTCTTCATCTCTTTTCTCTGTAAAACCAAGGACAGATCTATGTTAGGGGAAGTAAAGACACTGAAGTGCAAAAGAACAAAAAATAAATTTTCATCAAAAAAGCTTTAAAAAAAAATTTCTAAATCAGTTACAAAAGTACATATTCCAAGATTCAAACTGTTTCAGATAAGCACTGGTGACCCTACCAGAGAAACTATTAAGAGTTAATATTTGAAGGAAAAAACAAAACTAATACACACTATGGAAACTAACACAATTATGCATAAGTATACAATATATAGCACACAATTACAAAAATCAATATACATACGATTTGAATGTATTAAGAACTTAGCACAAAGAGGGCTAAAATAAATCATATAGCTGTTGTTGTTGTTGTTATTGTTTCGGGGTACTGTGGTTTAAACTCAGGAGCAATCAACCACTGAGCCAACTCCCCAGACTCATTTTGAATTTTATTTAGAGACAAGGTCTCACTGAGTTGCTTAGCGCCCCATTTTTGTTGAGGCTGGCTTTGAACTTGTGATACACCTATATCAGCCTCCCCAGCCACTGGGTTAACAGGGGTGCGCCACCACACCCGGCTCTTATATCTTTTTTATGTTTGATATACCACATTTATTTAAGAATACAGCTCCAATAAAATTGCATTATTATTTAGAAATTATTTTTTAAATCTAAAAAGTCAAAATTTGATACTTGCAGATTTTACCTCAGTGTTCTAAAGATTAAGAAACAAATTTAACTACTTTATCCTTAACAGAAATATACAATAAACACATATGCTATACAACAATATAAAAACATGTGGCTATCATAAGGCATATGATGGTCAAGATTAACAACTACAACTAAGGTGGTCAAATCACCTTTTTACTCTGTGTGTTCACAAACAACACTTCTCAAAGTATGTTATCTTAAAAAATTAGGATCATAGTAACACAGAACAGGGGAGGAAATTGCTTAGAGAGACAAGCACGCGCACGTGCGCGCACACACACAGAGATCACCAATAATAGGGGGAAATAAACTTAAAAAGCAAATAGAATTGGTAATTGGTCACAAGAACTTCATAAGATATAAGTACACAAGATTGGTAACTGGTTACAAGATCTTCATATAATGTATAAGGTGGCAATTATAATTCCATTATTTTTACATCAGAAAGAGGTGTATTTTAATTACATGTTTTGAACTTAGTGTAAGACAACAATCCAGTTTTCTGTTTTCCAAAATATTTATTAACTATTTCTGCACTGTTTTATAAATAACCATCTTTCACAAAAAATTTTAAATTATTCTTTCATAAATTGCATGTTGCTATTATAGGTCTGTTTTTCTGGGTGTGAATTCTGTTCCACTGTTCTACATGCTACTCCTATGCTATATTACTGTCTTAAGTGCTAAAGTCTTATATTTTATTAATTGACCATTCAAATCATCTATCCTTTTCTAAATTTTCATCACTTATCTTTCTTTATTTTTATTTATTTTTTATTATATATTATATATAATATACATATGTATATATATATTTTTTTTCTTTTTCTTTTTTTTTTTTCCTGGTGGTGGTGCTGAGTATGGAACCCAGAGCCTTGTACTTGCTAGGCAAGTGTTCTACCACTAAACCACATCACTAGCCCACAATTTTCTCTCTTTTTATTGTTTCACAGAAGTAATGAAAAGTTCCAGAAACAAAATCTATTTGAACTATATTTAGAGTACTGAGGAGCCAGTGAAGATTCATACATCTTGCAAGATAAATCAGAAGAATTGTATTTAAAGACGAACTTGAAGTACTGAGGTTAGATTGAAAAAATAGCAAAAATAATGACAGAGAAGAAAACAAATGAGAGGAACTGATAACCTCATCAGGAATCACATGAGTTCTAAAAGTAGAATATACAATGGGAACCAGTCAAATAATTAGTCCAACTCATATCTGTCTTCTGAATTCTAGACTTGACTATCCACCTCTTTACTTTCAACATCTCCATTTGGATATCTAATGGATGCCTCAGCTTACCATATATGAAAACCACACTCCTGACATATTCTCTCTTATCTCCACATCTCCTTTTCTACATTTCCTCAGCAGCTGGGAATTCTCTTAATGCAGCTGTACAAGTCAAAGAGTTTATACTTCAACCATATCCAAGTCCATCAATGAATCCAGTTGACTCTAATCCCTAAACAGTTACCAAACTAATTTCTCCTCACCACCTCACTAATTACTATTATTCCTCTTCTTGGGAATACCTGTGTGGGAGACCAACCTTGCACGTGACTGAGTCACACTCCCCGGCTGGTCACAGAAATGTGGCAGAGCTTTCCCCATCCTTCTTGGGTTCGAGGGTCAGTGTCTCGTGCATGGGTGTGTTTTGCTATAGCCCTATGGGTGAAGCTATGCTCACCTGTTCCTTTGTAATATAATCCCTTGCCCTGTTAGGATAGAATCTTCCATGGAAGTAACTTGTGTGTGTCCCCTTCTCTTACTGTGCCCTTGCGTGTGGCCTACCTAGGTGTTAGTCAACCTGCTGACAGTGGTCATCATGAAGATAGACTCAGCCCCCAGAAACCTGACCCCTTGCCTCATTTGAATAGCTTCTCTTCAATAAAAGAGGTCAGCGCGTGCTCTCTCTCTCTCTTCCTGCGGACCCTTAAGGTCAGAGGGGCCATCAGAGCGACCTCAAAGAAAAAGGTATTTGTGTCTCTTGTGTGGTTATTTTGTGCAGCCAAGTCAGCCCAGTTCAACTGGAGTAAACCCTGAGCCTTTTGGTCGTGAGAACAGAAACCTGGCATACCTGGTTCCCAGCTGTTTCCTAACTAATATCTCCACTTCCAGGCATAACTAACTACAGTCTCTTTACCATAATGCAGCAGAAAAATACTCTTAAAACTTGCTGGCAAAGTCTACTTTTACTACAAGCCCCTCACTAAGCACTCACCATTATTACTCTGCATTTTTCTCCTCCAAAGTACTTTCTTGGCATATGTCATAAATTTGATAATGTCTTTTTTTCCTCCATTAGAAAGTAAAAATCTTACAGGCAGAAACTTTGTTTATCACAGTATCCATATTAGCGACAGAAAGGACAGGAATTTGCACACTAAATATCATTCATGTTGATTATCAGTTGTATGTAGGTAAGCAGAAGTCTGCAGAATAAAGGAGGAAACTCAGGCTTAAGCAACCAGGTAAATGATGGTATGGTTTGTTTAATTTATGAACAAATGATGACCACATTTGAAATAGCCCAATTTTAAACATGTTCAGTCTTAGGAGCTCATCTATATCCACCTGAAAATGTACAAGAGGCAACAGGATACAGATAAGGAGAAAAGAAATCCAAACTGGAGATACAGGCATCATTCTTAATAGTTACTCCATTGACAGTTAAGGTCCCATGGGTACCATATAATACACATGTAACTCCTTCTCCCCAATATTTAAACTTTTTGTATTTCTATATTAGTTGAAATATTCAGAAAAAAAAACTAATAACAATACTACTTCATTTCCTTAATATGACCAAATAACAACATGCTACTCTTTAGAAAATATATGTAATTTTTTCTCATCAATTATCAAGAGAAGATAGAATCTAATTTTTAATTGAATTTGATTTTTTTCCCATCATCATCAGTATCCCTCCTTCACATTCTGAAGAATTTTCTAGTCTAACAAAAGAAAATAATCTTAAATTTTAAATACCATTTACTGAACACCTACTAAGTACTGCACTCACAATTTCTGCTTTGGTTCATTATAATTCTTGTAATCAGTTCATTTTATAATTCTTGTAATCATCATCCTACTACTATGACTGTTAGCAACATATCTCTCATGAGGAAAAAAAATGCTAAGAGTAATTTTGAGCAACAGATCTCATAAAAGAATGAAGATTACCTGACTTAACTCTGGATATCTTTTACTAGTTATAAAGGATCCTTGTGTCAAATTAAAAAAAAAAAAAAAAAAAAAAAGTTTACAAGCAACCCTGACCAGTTCAACTTCCAAACCAGAGTCCGAAGTAATTTTACCAATTCTGTCTTTTTAATAAAAAAAAAAATGATGATTTAGATTCATCAAGTTTACCATATCAGCACATTCATGATGTAGTAAATGTGTGATTTTCTTCTGTCTTTACTGTCAAGAGTTGTATGTGAACCAAATTGACATGGAAATCCACTGAATAGGAAAATTTGATATTTGGGAACTTCTAGTGGCAATCACACTGGTTAAGACTGCACAGATACATGTGAATTTCTATTCAGCTCTGCCAGGTACCACATAGCACCTGAGATGGGGTGATCTGCTGTAGCCACACAGCCTCTCAGAGATGGGTGTAGCATGCCAAGATGTCAACTTTAGGAAGCAAGACTCCGCCCCCTGAAACCTTACACCTGCCCTTGATGCACCCCCTTAAATAAACCACCTAAGGCATTTTTTTTAACTGCTCTAGTCCATCTCCTACCAGGACTAGACAATCTATCAGGTGCTCTGCTTTAAAGCCTATTCTGGCTCTTTTATTTCTTTATTAATTATTTCATACTGTATTTTTTCAGGTGGCTTATACCCTCTGGGCAAGAAAAATGACCCTGAGAGTCACTGGAAGCCTTGCGATACTTTACTACTTTACAAAGAACAGAATGTAAAGAGTGAGAATGTGGGCAAAGGGGTAGGAAGAAATAGAGTTTACTAACAGAGAAAACAACAGGAATCAATAAACCAAGACTGAAAAATGTTTATGTTAATATGATACCAGATAATGAGTCTGTTATCCAAATAGACTTGAAGTGGTGGGAGAGGGACCTTTCATATAGAAAATTTAGCCAAAAAAATTCAGCCACATAATAGACTGCCTCAAATGAATGAAAAACAAGGAAAAGCGCTTATGCAAAAGCAGAATTTAAATGTTGGCAACCACTATGGTTTGAGTGTGTATCCAGGAATTCATGTGTTTGTAGTTAGTTGGGGATGTTAAGAGGTGTTGGAACCTTTAAAAAGATAGGA